ACGGAGATATTTGTGATGGATTATGGAGTGAATACCTTGGTGAAAATAAATAAACATAAAAGGATATACATTTACTTAAAAATAATTCTTAAAACAAAATTATAGGTATTTACTAAAAAATATAAGAAAATTGTATAATTGAATTTTAAATTGAAAAATGTAATGAAATATGTTATTTGTAGAAAAGTTGTATAACTTCAATATATAATAATATTTTAAATACAATAATATAGTTTTAGTTATTTACTTTGTTTTAGTTTGTAATTTCAACTAAGTTTTATTAAAGCAATATTAAAATGTATGTTTCCTTTTAATCTAACTTATATTTATAAATATCTAATATTTTTAAAACTCCTTTTGAATAAAGTAATTATTATTGATTATTTGTTAGTGCATATTTAGTGTATGTATTTATAGACAGAGATAAGTGTTGAATGTGTTTGTAATGAAGTTTCAAGTGCAATAAATTTGAAAATATAAAATATAATATAAATTAAATATAAAAGTATATAATTACTTTATAAAGTTAGTAACATTTATTGCAACTAATATATTACTTATTGAAAGTCTACACATGAACTCAATTTAGTGATTGTGTTGAATGAGACAATGAAAATGATGACAATATCAACGATCAGATTAATTTCGTTTGTAATTGTGTTTGTAATTAATTTTATAGGTACTTTTTAAAGGGAATTAAGTTTAAAAATATTGAATATAAAAGTGTTATACTTAATAAAGTTAGTGTCATTTATTGCTGAATTTTATAAATTGTTTTTTCATAGTAATTAAAAGTTACATTTAAAAATAATATTAAGATAGTGAATATGATGAAAATATTTTACCTGTGAAACTACTTTTAAATAATTCAATAATTATCATTGATTAATATTTTAGTGCATTAGTGTACAGTTAGACTTAAATAACAACTTGTCAGATACAAGTTATAAGTCGTGTAAGTCATAAAGTTATAACTTATGCACGTGTAAGTCTAACTGTGCATGTTGATTACGAAAGTACAGTACATTGAGTGAACAAATTAAATATATTTGAAAATTGTTTTGTGAGAAGTACTGTTATTTTATGAGAAGTTGTTTTTGATATTTAAAGTTAAATAATAGTTGTTCAAATGATTTTAGCTAATAAATTGTGTTTTGTATTAATCGTGTGTTTAATTGTTCGGTGTGTTTGCGATGAGAGTAATAGTGTTGTCGTGAATACGAGTTCGGGTGGAGTGAGGGGACAGACACTGAATGTTGTGAATCACAAAATCAATCAATTCTTGAATATACCTTATGCTGAGCCCCCGGTGGGCCCACGAAGGTTTAGTCCACCACAACCACTCCAGACACCTAAACAAGTATTTAAAAAATTATTTTCATAAATATTATTAATTTAATTATATGGATAATATAGAAGTTATTGTTTATGACAATAAACAGGATATCATTGATGGGACAGTCGAAGGTAACTCATGTATACAAATACAAAGTCCATTGTTTGTACAAATGATGGGTAAACTGACCACAAGTGAGGACTGTTTGGTATTAAACATATGGACACCAAATGTGGACAAAAGTGCATCAAAATCACAGCTAAAACCTGTTATGTATTGGATATACGGCGGGGCACTTACTATTGGATCAGTATTTCAAAGCTTTTATAACGGGAGTGTTTTGGCCACCAATGATGTGGTCATTGTTTCCGTTAACTATAGGGTCGGACAGTTAGGCTTTTTATATGGTGGCGATCAGACAACACCCGGTAATCTGGGATTTTATGACCAACTGTTAGGACTGAAATGGGTATATATTTTAGTTATTAATTACTATTAGAATGTTTGACAAAAGAACATAAATTTAACTTTTTTTAAAACTATAACTTATTGAATATAATTGTTAATTACTTTATGTTATTAATAGGTTCGAGATAATATTCATCAATTCGGTGGAGACAAGGATCAGATCACTATATTTGGTGAGAGCGCCGGCAGTTGGTCCACATCGGCACACCTACTCTCACCCCTATCTAAGGGTCTCTTTAAGAGGGCTATTGTCCAGAGCGGGACTGAAATGTTTCATAAGGATAGACCAGTTTTGGGAACTGTAGAGGCGTTGAGTAAAGCCAAAGAAACGGCCCGTAAATTGGGTTGTGATCCGTATGAACACAAATGGTTGGACTGTTTGCGAACCATCGAAAACCCGGACCTATTTCTTGAGCCGACTGAGGCTGAAATTGGTTTTGGTATCACGTGGCCTGTGTTTGGCACTGAATTCCTACCCGTTTTACCACAAAAGGCTTTTGAAACTAATAAATATAATTCTGGTGAATACAAAATGGTTTAAAAATATAAAAGTTTTAATTGATATAAAAATTTATGGATCAGATGTGGATGTGATGGCCGGTGCGACCAAAGACGAGGGTCATATTCTAGCCGTCAGTCATTTCCCACAAATGAGGTCTGAGTTCAATAAAAACAAATTTCACGAATTAATAGAACTCCAGAGAGAGATCTACCATAACATAGACGTCCAGAAAGTGTCCGATTATTACCTCCAGAATAGAGACCCCGAAAATCCTCATGACTTACAGCAAGCTTTCGGGGAACTGTATGGCGATATGTTGATAGTGTGCCCCACCTATGGGTTTGCCAAGAGATTTGCCAAAAGTGGTCGAGACGTCTATTTTTATAGATTTAATTATCAGACAAATCTGTTTGCAATGTTTGGTTGCGATGAACATACCATATGTCACGGCGCAGAACTCCCCTATGTTTTTGGTGATCCCGTTAGGACTCCCCAAATGTTTACGGAAACGGACTATGATTTCAGTTTAGAAGTTATGAAGATATGGACTAATTTTGCTAAAAATATGTGAGTTGTGCTGGATTATTTGTTTTAAAAATGTTATTTACATAATTTATTAAATCGATAGAAAACCACACAATGTTTGGCCGAAACTAATAGACATTTCGGACGTGAATTCAGTGCCAAAAGTGAAAGACTTGAATCCCAACGATATGTCACTTGTTTTGGACAATCCTTACGGAGATATATGCGATGGATTATGGAGTGAATATCTCGGAGACAATAAATAAACATACGGTGACATAGAGTTAGTTAAAAACAATTTTTATTATACAATTATAAAAAACTTACAGAAAATATAAGAAAATTGTACAAGTGAACATTAAATTGACTTGAAATGAATAAAACATATTATTTGTAGAAAACATTTATAATTTTATTACTCGAACTTCAAATAAATAATTTACTTCTTTTACACATGGTAATTTAGTTCAAAGTTTTAATTAAGTTTTATTAAATTAATGTTAAAATGTATGTATTGTTTGAATATCACTCATTTTTATGTTTTAAAGCCACTATCTTTAAAACTACTTTGATAATAGGTTATTTCTTAATATTTAGTGCATTTTATTATGTAGTTATAGAAAAAGATAAGTGTTGAATGTGTTTGTAGTGAAGTTTCAAGGATATTTTTTAAGTGCATTAAGTTTGAAAATATTAAATATAAAAGTGTTATACTTTATAAAGTTCGTGTCATTTATTGCTGCGATATTTGAATTGTTTTTTGATTGTAATTGAAATTCTTGTTTAAGAAATGATTTTTGCAAATAAATTGTGTTTTGTATTAATAGTGAGTGTAATAGTGGTGTGCATTGTTCGGTGTGTTTGCGATGAGAGTAATAGTGTTGTCGTGAATACGAGTTCGGGTGGAGTGAGGGGACAGACACTGAATGTTGTGAATCACAAAATCAATCANGAGTGAGGGGACAGACACTGAATGTTGTGAATCACTTAATCAATCAATTCTTGAATATACCTTATGCTGAGCCCCCGGTGGGCCCACTCAGGTTCAGTCCACCACAACCACTCAAAACACCTAAAAAAGTATTTTAAAAATTATTTTCATAAAATATAATATAATATATAAATTATGTTTTACGACAATAAACAGGATATCATTGATGGGACAGTCGAGGGTAACTCATGCATACAAATACAAAGTCCATTGTTTGTACAACTGATGGGTAAACTGACCACAAGTGAGGATTGTTTGGTACTAAACATATGGACACCTAATGTGGATAAAAGTGCATCAAAATCACAGCTAAAACCTGTTATGTATTGGATATACGGCGGGGCACTTACTATTGGATCAGTATTTCAAAAGATGAATAACGCGAGTGTTTTGGCCACCAATGATGTGGTCATTGTTTCCGTTAACTATAGAATCGGACAGTTAGGCTTTTTATATGGTGGCGATCAGACAGCACCCGGTAATCTTGGGTTTTATGACCAACTTTTAGGATTGAAATGGGTACATATATTAATTTAATTTAATTACTGTTAATTTGTTTAATGTTTGCAAAAAACTATAACTTATATTATTGTATACAATGTATATAAGTGTTAATTAATTAATGTTATTAATAGGTTCGAGAAAATATTCATCAATTCGGTGGAGACAAGGATCAGATCACTATATTTGGTGTGAGCGCCGGCAGTTGGTCTGTATCGGCACACCTACTCTCACCCCTATCTAAGGGTCTATTTAAGAGGGCTATTGCCCAAAGCGGGGCTGTAATGTTTCATAAAGATAGACCAGTTTTGGGAACTGTAGAGGCGTTGAGTAAAGCCAAAGAAACGGCCCGTAAATTGGGTTGTGATCCGTATGAACACAAATGGTTGGACTGTTTGCGAGCCATTGAGGACCCGAACCTATTTCTGGAGCCGACTGAGGCTGACGTTGCTTTTGATGTCACGTGGCCTGTATTTGGCACTGAATTCCTACCCCTTTTACCACAAAAGGCTTTTGAAACTAACGAATATAATTCCGGTGAATATAAAAATTTTTAGAAATATAAAAGTATTAATTGAAATATTTATGATCAGATGTGGATGTGATGGCCGGTGCGACCAAAGACGAGGGTCCTATGCTAGCAACGATGCTGTTCCCACAATTGAGGGCTGATTTCAATATAAAGAAATTTCACGAATTAATAGAACTCCAGAGAGAGATCTACCATAACATAGACGTCCAGAAAGTGTCCGATTATTACCTCCAGAATAGAGATCCTGAAAATCTGCATGACTTACAACGAGCTTTCGGGGAACTGTATGGCGATTTGTTGATGGTGTGCCCCACTTATGGGTTTGCCAAGAGATTTGCCAAAAGTGGTCGGGATGTCTATTTTTATAGATTTAATTACCAGACAAATAGTTTTGCAATGTTTGGTTGCGATGAACATACCATATGTCACGGCGCAGACATCGCCTATGTTTTTGGTGAACCCGTTCAGAATCCACAGAAGTTTACGGAAACGGATTATGATTTCAGTTTAGATATCATTAAAATATGGACTAATTTTGCTAAAAATATGTAAGTTGTGCTTAAATATTTTTTATTGAAATATTTATTAACATAAATTAAATCAATAGAAAAGCACACAATGTTTGGCCGAAACTAATAGACATTTCGGACGCGAATTCAGTGCCAAAAGTGAAAGACTTGAATCCCAACGATATGTCACTTGTTTTGGACAATCCTTACGGAGATATTTGTGATGGATTTTGGAGCGAATACCTTGGTGAAAATANACGGAGATATTTGTGATGGATTATGGAGTGAATACCTTGGTGAAAATAAATAAACATAAAAGGATATACATTTACTTAAAAATAATTCTTAAAACAAAATTATAGGTATTTACTAAAAAATATAAGAGAATTGTATAATTGAATTTTAAATTGAAAAAAGTCATAAAATATGTTATTTGTAGAAAAGTTGTATAACTTCAATATATAATAAATATGTTAAATACAATAATATAGTTCTAATATAGTTATTTACTTTGTTTTAGTTTGTAGTTTCAATTAAGTTTTATTAAAGCAATATTAAAATGTATGTTTCCTTTTAATCTAACTTGTATTTATAAATATCTAATATTTTTAAAACTTTTTTTTGAATAAAGTAATTATTATTGATTATTTGTTAGTGCATTTTTAGTGTATGTGTTATTGACTGAAATTGTGTTGAATGAGACTAATGAAAATGATGATAATATCAACCATCAGATTACCGGTATATGATTAGCCAATGACTGTTCAAATCTCAACAATTTTGATCTCCATACTCGTTTTGAAACTACTGGTCTACTATCTTTAAAAACTTTTGGATAATATAATTATCAATGATTATTTTTTAGTGCATTTTTAGTGCATGGTTAGAAACAGAGATAACTTATTTCAGATAAGTGTTGAATGTGTTTGTAATTAAGTTTTACAGGTACTTTTTAAAGGCACTGAGGTTAAAAATATTGAATATAAAGTGTTATACTTAATAAAGTTAGTGTCATTTTTTTGTGAATCTTATAAATTGTTTTTTGATAGTAATTAAAATTAATGTTAAAAAATGATTTTTGCAAATAAATTGTGTTTTGTATTAATCGTGTGTTTAATTGTTCGGTGTGTTTGCGATGAGAGTAATAGTGTTGTCGTGAATACGAGTTCGGGTGGAGTGAGGGGACAGACACTGAAT